TCCCCCTTAGTCCTGAGGGGGTACACCCACACCGCACGCGTGTGGTTGTCCATAGTGGTTAAGTAGCGTCTACCCGAGAGAGAAGGGGCCCTCGTAGGGCCCACCACATCCATGTGCACAAGCGCAAGTGGAGCCTTGGTTGGTCCCGTGCTGCTGCTGAAGGGGAACTTGGTGAACTTCGTTTCAAGGCATGTAGGGCAGCTCCCAATCTCCTTTGCTGCCCCCTTCACCTCCAGCCCCTTCAAGCTCCCATTCTTCACCAAGTTTTGCAGCATAGGGATGTTGATGTGACACAACCTCTTGTGCCATGTCTCCCAATCGGCATCACCATTCCCAGACGAAGCCTTTGCCCATGCAGCCGTCCCATCCACACCAGCAAGCATCTCACCATGTGACTGCTGTGGCTGCTGCACCTTCTTGGCTGCTTCCAGGGCCCCATCAGTTGGTGCAGTCTGCTCTCCTCCCGCAGTTGCCTTCGCCGTTACTGCTGCCGCTGCCATTAGTGGAGGTTTCCCATTCCAAGGGATGATGGGCAGCTGCCACAGGTCCTTGATGCGGCTGTTCGTCTCCTCCAGATCCCACAACAAGAGCTTCCCAAGCTTCGCACGACAGGTGGTTGGGGCAAAGGTCACTTTGGCCTTGCTCTTCTGCAACCGGTGCACAGAAAGAAGGTTAGCGGACAAACCTTCAACCAACAGCACATTCCCCAGCCCCTCAAGCCCCCGATTGGCTCCTATTACCTTGGCATTCCCAACACCAATCACAAGGAGCAAAGCATCTGAAGCGGCAGCCACAAACCTAGTGAGGGGTGCATCACAACTTTCCCAACTGAACCCACATCACCCCCATTCCCTTTCACATCCTCAACCATGAGGAACATCCCAGGGTCGGCTTTACCTTGTGCACCATCACCATGTGCACCTGAACCTTGCACAACGCCACCTCGAGCACGTTCACCACTTGGCGGCTTCATGCCTGGAGGCGCCCATCCCTCAGGCCGGCTGAAACACTTGAACCACAGATGTCCAACCTTCTTGCAGTACCAGCAAGCTCCCTCCATTCGGGTTCTCCACCTGCTATCAGAGCTCCCATGCCTCTCATTGTAGTTACCTTGGCCTCTCCCTCTTCCAAAGTCTCTCCCACGGCCTCGGCCTCTCCCACCCCCTCTTCCTCTGCTGCCTCCTAAAGCTCCAAGCCCCTCAGCAGTTTTGTTGGCAGCACCGCCTCCCGTGTGGCGCCTACGGAAATCCTCCTGCAGAATCTGCTGCCGTAGCCACTCAGGTGTCCACTAGTCCTGCTGATTGTTGAGGGTGAGGTTGTCCCACGAATTGTCGAGCAACGAGATGATCTTGGTGCACTGCTGCATTTGTGACATATTGCTGCCCGCCGCTGCCATCCTCGCATAGGGAGTCCTTGATCTCGTCAAGGACCGGCTTCAGATCGTCGCCCGGTTGCATGGAGAGGGCAGCCAGCTCCTTCTCCAACACAATCACCATCGGCAGCGTGTTGGGCTGAATCACATTGCGCGGTAGCTTCCACGCCTTTGGTCTGGAATCATCCAACTCCACCAAATCCTTGATGTGTTGGAACATGTTGTTGTTGACCGATTGAAGGATTAGGTCGTACAGCACCGCGCTCTTCTCAATCCACCGTTCGCGGGCGTCGCCTTCCTGTGGCATCTTCTATTCTCCCATCACAAGTTTCAGCAGCTTGTAGCGCTTAAACACACTCCGCATTCGCCCGCTCCATTCCTCATAGTTGGAGCCATCTAATGCCTCGATCTTGGATGGTGGCGTCTCATTCCTATTCTCAGCTGCACCTCCACTCCCTTAACTCATTTCCTCTACTCCCAATCACAGGTTCCAGCTCCCCCTTTGCTGTCCACACCGAAGTCGCACAGATTTCTTACAAGTGTCGACGCCAACGAAATTTTGGCAGAGTTTCCCCTTAGCGGAAGTCACGTCCAACATTCAGGACACCACTTAGGCACGCCCACAGGCCATGGTGGGTCTAGCAGGTTTTTCACACTTCATTAGACTTCCTTAATCAGCTCTGGTACCACTTGTTAGAGATCAAAGACAGAGTCTTTGAAGATTAGGGGCCGAAATATCTCAAAATCGTTGACTACAATTCTGGATCGAAATGTCGTCGTCACAAGAAATGCCGTCGACAACAAACGCACCGTTAGAATTCTCTCAAACTCGAGTATGTTGTAGCCCTTGACTGTGGCTATCCATCCCAATTTGAAACATATCAAAGATGAAGTATAACTCGAGTTATGAATTTCGGCGCACTATGGGGTATGCTGCCATAGAGAATTAGAGTAGCTAGAAACCAGGTAGGAGGGAAGAGGAGGACGAGAGGGAAGGTCCCAAGAGAGTCCCCAACCAAGAAAACCTCATGCCACACAATTCCCCTCTCTATAGGTACCCAGCTTGCACCCTTATCATTTTCCCAACATCCACAATCCACCTCACCCCAACTTGGCCTCACTTGCCAACCTGGTTTGGCATCTCCCAACCAGTTTGCATCATCTACAGTGATGGGGACGAATTTCCCAACCCCAAAAGACCGGACCCCATATTGAGTCAACCCGCAAATTCCCATAGTCGCCGCATCACAATCAAAACTTTGAACGATCATAACTTACCCGTTCTTGCTCCGATCGCAGCGATTCTTGGTTCGTCGGAAAGCTCTCAAGCAAAAGAGTCATTACAGTTATCTGCTCAACCAGAATAACATCCACACATTTAGAGAATCCAAAGCACACCGAACACAAATTCTTGCACACACTCACACCACGCATGCAACGCACGAAAATATGATGGGAGGCGTACAGACGTGAATGCAAATGATAGCATCACATAACACAAGCGAGGACGGGGCCACATCCATCTCCCATTCACGCTCCCCTGCCGCGTTCACGCTTGGGCCCCCAGCCCACACGGCAGCACCATTAGGAGAATAGCTCGTCAGCGTGCACCCAACACACAGCACGCCAGCCACTGCACCAGCCATGCAAGAGGGCATGGCACCTATTGCTGCACATCGTCGTCGCCGTCGCCCACATCGGCCAGGCGCACTTGGCCGATAGCGGCGGAGCACCGGTTGAAGGCCAGAAAGTGCAGCACCTTCGTCAGGAAGTCAGCCGGCTGCTCGGTGGTTAGGATGTACTTCAGCGAAATTTTCCCGCGCTTCACCATGTGCTGCAGCCAGGCCTGTTGCTGCTCCATATGCTTGAGGTTTCCTGTCAACCCCAGGACCTTAGCGACCGTGATTGGCAACTTGTTGTCCACCCGAAGGACAGTCAGCTTCACGGCATCAAGCTGCCGGAATTCTGCAAGAAGGAAGTGAAGGCGGCGTCCCTCCTTACCGGCTTCCGTGGCCGCCACGTACTCCGACTCGGTCAACGACAGCGTCGCGCACTTAATGCACTGGCTCGACCAGGAGACTGCGGCCCCTCCGTAGACAAACACATAGCCTCCCGTGCTCGTCTTCTTCTGCTTGTCGCCAGCATCGTCAGTGTCCATGTAGCCGACCAGCTCCAGTGACTCAGATTCACTGCTGGACTCCAGGGCGGTGTTGCGCATGTTCGGGGTGCGACCGTTCTGCTCCTTGTCAAAGAACCGCATACGCAGCTTGTCGGCGTAGCCCTGCTGGTGCAGCCACAGCTTCCTCGCCGGCCTGTCGCGCACGATCTCCAGCCCGAGGTGCTTCTACACCAGCGAGATCTCACGCAGCTCGAAGGCGGCCTCCAGCCGCTCCTTCAGCTCCTTCAGCATCTCGATGCTGCTGCTGGCGGTGAGCAAGTCGTCAACAGAGACTAGCACCCAGCAGGCCACCTTGTCGACACCGACCTTGAAGTAGAGCCCGTGTCGACCTGGCTCTTCTTCTAGCCGGCGCCGACCAGCACATCATTGAGAGCCTTGTACCACAGCAACGGAGACCGTTTCAGCCGGTAGAGGCTCTTCTGCAGCTTACACACCCAGCCGGTTCCGTCGTTGAAATAGTCCGACTGGTACATGTACAGCACCCAGTTGAACTTGCTTTGCTTCATGTCGAGCTGCATCGGGTTAAGGTTGAGGACGGCAACGATGTTGCGGATCTCTTCTTCCATGGCGGCCTTCACCGCCTTGCCCTTCCAGCTTCCCAGTGCTTCCTTCACCGTCATCGTCGAGATGTCCCAACGGTGTCCACATCGATCACAGGTAGGGGCGTCCGGGCACTCGCAACTTGTGTTCCTCGCTTCCGCAGGTTGAGCAGGCTGGCGGGTTGTGACAGTCACGCTGAAGGTGGCCCGCCTTGCCACAGTTGTGACACTTCCTCTCCTCTCCCGCTCGCCGAGGCAGGCGCTTTCGCTCCACCGGTTCTGCAGTCCACGCTGGTCGCCATCGCTGCCCCCCTCGTTCCGGAGCGGCCTCAATCTCGTACAATCTCCGGCCCGTCTCCACCCGCTTCACCACCTCGTATGCTTCCTTGAGCGTGGCCCTCCCACTCATGTCAAACACACGCACCTGTACATCCCGCCGTAGATCATAGCTCAGCCCGTTCAGAAAATTTCTGATTAACCGTCCTTGATCGTGACAGGTCATGTCCTCAGCTAGCTCCACCAAGCGACCATATTATGCTAGTAGAGACTCTCCTGTTCGGTGCGTGAAGTCTCGAAATTCCGATGTACGCTCTGGCGTTTGCACCGGGAACTTTTCTTCTAACATGCCCAAGAACCGTGTCATGGGATCCCTTACCTCTGGTGCCGCTCTCGCCGCCCAATCCAATAGCTCTCTCCGACTGATGCGGTAGTATGTTTCTGCCTCCCCAGTCAGCGTGTTCGCCAGACCGCGAAAGAACTCTTCAGGATCCAGACGATCTCGTTCCCAGCGTGCTCGTAGGTTCTCCACTTGCATCACGTAATTCTTTATAGAGGGTCCCCGCTGCGTGTCGTCGGAGAATCGTTCCGGTACTTCGATCTTAGTCAGCAAAGTGTACTTCCAGCGTTGCACCTACGCCTCTTCCTGCCACAAAGCGCTCTGTTGATAGGAGCCGTGCTCCGCTTCCTCCCTTGCACTTCGCATCGGTCGCTCTTCCGATTGCGAGCCTTTCTTCTCCGCCCCAGTCGGCGTTGACCCTTCCGCCGGCGGCCCCGGCCGTTCTCGCCCGCCTGCCGCATGTCCGGGCGAATCCGGCCCGTGCTCCACGTCCTCACGGATATCCGTTCCCCGATGCATGTCTGGGTCTCGTTCTTCCGGGATGTCACCTCCGACTTCACCCTTCCGCTCTAGTTCGTACTCCGTGCCAGCTCTAGTCCGCAGACTAACGCTCCATGAATTGTTTGTATGTGATAAGCTCTCCTAGCTTAATCACATCGCCTCATGTCTTGAAACCCTTACTTAATTGCTCATATTGGCCTGAGATCTCACACGCGCACAGATTACAGCAATTTTGTGAGAATAGCACAGAACATACAAACAATGCAGTATCAATTGCCCGTACCCCCTATATCCTGCCTACGCTCCTCCCTATACGGCTACACCACAAGGCTCCCTTAGAGGTGGTGGCCTCCTCGTCAAGACGAAGAGCCATGCTCCCCTTCCTCTTGCCTCCAGCACTTAGCCAACCAACCGGCGACCCTCCAGCTCGTGGCTGTAACCCCAGCTGGCTCGGGCATCCAACTTGCAAGGAAACAAAACATGCACTCACACACGAAACAAAGTAGCGCCTTCCAGCTGTCACACCCCCTTTTCCCCTCCGCTGATGTGTTACCCTATCCTGCATCAACCCATCACCCTTGCCTCGCTTTCCCGTTTCCTCGGTACTCACTTCTCCTGTGGACTGTACAAACATACAGTATGTACACTCGCTTTCCATCAACCTTATCTCGCGACACCCCCTTCAGTTTCGACCTTCACTTTACGCGCCTTTGACTTGCCCGCTGCTTTATCACGCGGTGCATCAACTGCCCTGCGTTTTCAGGAATGACAAGTCCGGACCCACACCTTCCGTGTACCACTCCCCCGTCTTCCTCGCGCTCCTGGGACCTTCACTGCTGCCACATACTCCTCTTCCTCTTCTGCCCCTTCCCCCTCCTCCTCCTCCACATCCTCCTCCTCCATATCCTCCTCCTCCTCCTCCTCCTCCTCCTCCTCCTCCTCCTCCTCATCCCCATCCTCCTCCTCCTCCCCCTTGCCATCCTTCTCCTCCTCTTCATCCTCGTCGTCCCCCTCCTCGTCCTCCCTCTCCTCCTCCTCATCCTCGTCGTCACTCTCCTCGTCGTCGTCGTCGTCGTCGTCGTCGTCGTCCTCCTCCTCCTCCTCCTCCTCCTCCTCCTCCTCCTCCTCCTCCTCCTCCTCCTCCTCCTCCTCCTCCTCCTCCTCCTCCTCGTCTTCGTCCTCCTCATCATCCTTCTCATCTTTTTCCTCCTCCCCCACCTCCGCGTCCTCCTCCTCCGTATCCTCCTCCTCCGCATCCTCCTCATCCTCCTCATCATCCTCTTCCTCCTCCTCCTCCTCCTCATCCTCTTCCTCCTCCTCCTCCTCCTCCTCCTCCTCCTCCTCCTCCTCCTCCTCCTCCTCCTCCTCCTCCTCCTCCTCATCCCCCTCATCCTCCTCCTCCGTATCCTTAGCACCTTCTTCACAGTTTTTGGGCCTCTTCCCCCTAGCTACTTGCTTGCCCAAGAGTTTTTCGGCCACCGGAGTTTTTCTGCCCTTTGGGTCGGCCCTTCTGGCGCAATGCATGACCCGCTGACTTAACACTTACTTCCCTGGCGCCTCGCGTTTTTCCAACTTCCACGCCATCGACGTCATCAGCTCTGCCTTCCATCTGCCGCCTCTTCGCCCGTATAATGATGGAGTCGGCCAGGGCGGTGTCATATTGTTCCTCCCCCTCGCTCTTTCTCTACCTATGCCTCCTACGTCAACCTGAAGGAGGAGAGCCACTAACACCACCAGCGGCATCATCGTGGCTGCGATAGCCAACATCGGCGATGTCGTGTTGCTCCTCCATAGAATCGTGCTCTCCATCATTGTCCTTCTCGACCACGGTAGCAGAAACTTCGACCACGGTCGGCTAGAGCAGTGTCAGATGGTGCTGCGATGCTTCCGCCTCTGACTCGGTGATGGCTGCATGCTCGTCGCATATAGCGTCGCCGTGGTTTCCCCCTATCACTGAGCACTCTCTCTCCCCCGACGGATCTGCAAGACTCACGTGTTGTTCAGGATCCGTCACTTTGAGAACTTACGACGAACTCATTTCTCAACTAAACGCAAATTTGCTCAGTAAGATTATGCGCCTTAGGCTTAGCTACCATCTCCAATTCGAATCACCTAGAAAGATGGTCTAGAGAGTAAGAACGACTTGAAAACACCCAGCAGCTGCATGACTAGAAATGGTGGAGGAAGTACAAGTATTGAGGCATAGAATGTTGGAGTTGGGAACCTCCAAGAGAATCATGAGAGGGAAGGGGTTCTTCAAGAGCTAGGGAAGGATGGTATGAACCTTCCTAGCAGCAAGGATACAACCCTCATTATGAGGTCCTTGAGGTGTCACATGCAAAATCCAATCTAGTTGGATTTTGCCTAGGTGTTGCAACATTTGCAACCAATGCTAGAAACTTCTAGCCACCCCAATTCAAAAGTCAAAGTTGCCTTTCTAACCACCCAACCAAAGGTCCCTTTATAATCATGTCCAAGTAATCACCCAAACTAGATATAACCCCAAAAGGTAATAAGAAATCCAAGTCTTGGAAATCTTGTAACTTGGGCGATATTTGTCGTAATAAGGTGATCTTGGTATTGTTGGAAAGCTCTGGATTTCTCCTACATCATCAAGCATTTAAACTGGGCAAAAAAACGCAGAGATAATAATATCCAAAAGCCATGCACAATGACATATGCTCATGCAAACAATGAACGCATAAATAGCACGAGCATTCGGCACGACGTTAGGATGACATGCACACAGAATAACGTGCATCCAACATCACACTCCCTCGCATCGGATCTTCCTGGCGCCGATGGTGCCATCGTAAGTCGGGCCGGGCTTGCTTCTATCAGAGGCATCATCCGCATGTTTTTTCACAGTAGAAACCCACACGCTTGGCGTTGGTTGCTTCCCCTTGTGTTCCGCCTTCTTCCCGGACTTCTCGAGTCCAAGCGCGGAATTTTTCCCCGCTCCTTTTTTGTAGTGACTGCCACGCGCACCAGACGCTTTAGTAGCTTTAAATTTGCCATCACCCTCCCGATCGGTCCGAAAAGGTTGCCTCCTTGTCGTGCGTCGTCCGGCCTAGTCATGGAATAGTATAGGGTTGTGGTAAGGTACTAGATTGAGCTCATGTCACACACACTTTGATCGTCAAAAACTGTTATTTCTGACAATCATACTAAGCACATGTTGAATGCCACCACGGTGAAAGGACGTTGGACGATATCAAAACACGAAAATCACTAGTGCCTAATGGGAAACCGTTGTTGCATGGTATTGGATTAGGCCTCAATCCTAAGGGGATTTTTAACATGGTGCAATAAGGCAGTGGTATGAAGCACACAATGATTGCACAAGCGGTGATATGTTATCGACAACCATGTCTCAACAAGGGTAACGTTGCAGCGTTCAAGTGTTTGGTTTGCAACCAATGGTGAAACCGTTGTGGTATGGTTTTGGATTGGGCTCAATTCTTGCATGGAACTTCAACAAGGTGCATAAAGGGAGTGGTATGAAGCACAGGGCTGTCGCACAAGCGCTGATAGGTTATCTACAACCATGTCTCGACAAGGCGACGTTGCAGTGACCAGGTGTTTGGTTTGCAACCAATGGGGAAACCGTTGTTGTATGGTATTGGTTTGGGCTCATCTCTTCAGGGGACCAACAAGATGTATATAGAGAGTGGTATGGACATTTAGCACGGTGTATAAAGGTCCAACAACGATGTGGTTTGATTATCATGGCATGCAGAGAAGCGATGATATACTACTGCTTTGTGTGAGAATCACTGAACAAGGAAATTGACTGAACTAGCAAGGAGATGGGTACAAGTAGGAAAACCTAGCAGTGTTGTACCCCATATAGTCTACCCCACTACACCCTACACAGACTATGTCATATATGTTTGATACTTTGATGAACATATTAGGTTTCATGCAACACGCTTATATAAGGATATGGAGTTTTTGGATACTTGTCGAATCTTTTATGACCACACTAGAGTTGTGAGAGGGTTTAGAAATATTGCCGTTGTGGTTAAGGGGCTGGTTATGAACAGAGCCTAAAGTATGGTAATCAGATCTATATGGAAGAAATAAGTTTTATGTAAGCTATAACTGTATATTGTCATTACCAAGTTTGGATTAAGGCTCTGGAGGTGCGCACCACTTTGGGCTCACCTACATGATTTTGTTTTCCCTCCTATACCAACTCTTAGAAGAATCACGGCACCAAACAAATCTCTTCCCTCTCTTTCTTGGCCTCTCGACTCTCACGCACGGTTCAAAAACCCAAGTTTTGAATTAGTAGGCACGTTCTTCTCACCATGCTCGCAACGCACACTCTCACCAAGCTTTTGCTCAGCACCTGCATGCTTGGTTCGTGGTCCCTTACCCTCCCCTCCTGTTCCCCCTTTCCAGTCCCTTTCCTTGTCCACTTGGGCTCGTCATTCTCCCCTCAGTCATGCTGTGTATACAAAGCCCTGTCGGCCCCGATACCGTTCAGACGGCCTGTTTCACCTTCTCCTCCGCTCTCGTGTTCCACCTCCCCCGGTCCTTCCACAGCCTCCAGAGTCATCCCTCACTGTGCTTCACAACCCGTTGTCCGACTACCTCCGTGCCTCCCGTCCTGTCGTCTCCTGTGTTCTGTCCATGTTGGTTAGTCACCTAAGTGGCCCCCCGTAGTCTGTCTCAGTTCTTGTTACCACTATCACTAGCTTTGCCTCTTCCCAACGCCTTGACTACGCCGCTCACCTGGTGATTGGCTTTCCTCGTTCTCTGTCCTATGGGGGTGCTCCTGTGTTTCCCCTAGAGGTCATCGAGGACAAAGTATTTGAGCTTGGTTTCATGGTGACCGATGTTCCTCATCTCTGCGCCATGACGCTTGCCCCTGAGGGGGATCCAGACGCCCTAGACATCCCGATCCCTCGCACTCACACCGAGGTGGTCTCGGGACCCTGGGCTCTGTATTAGATCGCAATTGAGGAGGCAGACATGGGGTAGACTTCTTCCAGACTTTGCTCCCACCCCAAAGATGACCACTCTTCGAGTGTTGCTGCATATTGCAGCTCAACGCGACTACGAGTCAAACTCCTTGGACTTCTCCACAGGGTTCCTTCAGGGGAGCCTGCACGAGCAGATCTGGTTGTGTCACTTACCTTGCTTCACTGCCTCTTTCCCTCCTGGAACCCAGTGGCAGCTGCGTCAACCGGTCTACGGCCTGTGCCAGGCTCCTCGTGAGTGGGACAAGACACTTTGGCCGCCATCACGCTGACCTGTTCGGCCGTCGCATTTGCACACAAATTGACTGGCCTCACATATCCCACGAACGGTTCATTCACCTCCCAAGTCGCCAAGCGCCACTCTCCGCGCCCGAACAGGACTAAAGAACCCATGTCTCTTCACCGAGTCCACAAGATGACACACGAGTTCATCATATCTCACACTCACTCTGACTTTTATAAATGCCTCATCCCACTGCTCATGTATATGGGCTTTTTCCGCTTCTCGGACCTCATCGCAATCAAATGGCAAGACATCAAGTTCGAGGAGGCGGCGATGTGGCTACTGGTTCCACAATCCAAAATGGACCAAGAGGGCAAGGGAATGTGGGTCCCAATCGCGACCACACCCGGACCAAAGATCACCAACAATTAATCTCGCTTGCGGGCTATGATGCGTACACCAAAGGACCACTGATACTGGTGTTCACACGCAACTCAAAGCTACACTGCACGACCACGCCCCTTCGTACCCAACTATTTGCAATTGGTGTTTAGAAGCATTTCGAAAAGCTGGTCTTGACAACAACCACCTTGCCATACACTCCTTCTGCAAAGGAGCAGCAATGACAGCGGCAGGCATCGGAGTCTCAGATAGGATGTTTAAGCGGTTGGGTCGTTGGCGCAACGACAACAAGACATGTATGTCACCATCGCCCACAACCACTTTGTGGATTCCTCCCAGCTGAATCAGGATCCTACACGGGCCCCCTCCCCAAACCAGCAACAACTGTCTAACCAGCGGCATTGCCGACCGGCCACTTATACGTCTTAGAAGACCCATATGAAATGAAGCATGATGCCTGTACAAGTTGCAAAAAGCAAGCTTTCACATAACATGAATTTTCTAAAGTGTTCGCTTTCTAAAATTGTGTATTGTGAAAGTGTAGCAATTGCCAACGCAGCAAAGGCAGCGTCGAATGGCTACTTGCCCTCTTTTGGCTACAAAAAAGGGAGTTGAGGCCATTTGGCCCTTCTTTTCAATTTAGAAAGTTTGGGATCCCCACCCTCCCACCCAAGTAGTTATTGTGTGCAATGATTATGGTTGTAATCGTAGTTATTATTGGACGAGATTCAAGTAATCATTCCCTTATGTAATGAAGCACGATGCCTTTAGAAGCTACACAAAGCAAGCTCTCACTTTTTTTTTCATTTCTTTTTGTCAGAATGTTATTATCTAGCCTGTAGTGGGGTGCTCTATAGCGAGTACAACCCTGTTAGGGTTTGCTATATGTATCCCAACTACTGCTAGTGAAACCCCTCCTTTCTTCACATTCCTCATTTCTTCACATGCTATCAGAGCAGGTCGACCCTCCTGGGTCGTTCCTGTGTATGGGCCCACCACCTCACTGCTTCCGCTGCCACTACTATTCTGTGTGATGCACGCCCCGTGGCGTGCGACGGATTTTTCTTCCCGCCGCGCGCTCGGAGCGTGCGGCGGTTTTCTGCCCGCCGTGCGCCCCGAGGCGCGCGGCGGTTTTCTGCCCGCTGTGCGCCCCG